AAGTATAAATGAAACTGACTTTAAAACCGTCGATCCTAAGTTACTTAACAATTTTAGATAAAAACAGTTTAGTTTCGAAAATCTTTTTTCTTATATATTCCTCGTGAAGATGAGTTTTATATCATAACTTTGAATAATGCTAAGGCAAATAGAAAGATTAAATAGCACACAAAATAAATTGTACTTTGGGGAGCAGACACGTTTCCTATTTGTTTTTGGGGTCTCTAAATCCGAATCCGATGTCCATTTTACTCCATCACATCATACTTCAAAAATATAAAAAATGAAAGATATTTCTAACCGAGGGGTCAGACCAAGTTATCTATATGTTTTGTGGGATGCTAAAACCGAATCTGACCATTTTACTTCATCACATTAGATTTTTCCAAGAACATAAAAAAATTAAAAACCTGTATCGCCCATGATATAGGCAACTGCCGTACAACAACGTTATGAGTGTTGACCCGTGAGGGGCCAATGCCACCTTTTCTATCAATTACAATTAATATTAATTACGAAATCTAATGCGATGGAGTTAAATTGACTTCAGATTTTTTCAGCAACCCCAAAAACATATAGGTATCGTGGTCAGACCCCACTGTTAGAATCTTTCGTTTTTTATATTTTTTGAGGTTATGTCTAAAACCTGATGTGGTGGAGTAAAAATGGTCATTAGATTTAGCGACCCCAAAAAACAGATTGAAAACATGAACAGATCTCCATACTCAAATACAATTTTGTGTGTGTGTGTGTTTGTGTGTGTGTGTGTGTGTGCATATGTGGTTATGTTAGGAAAAGAGAAATTGTTTATTTTTACGACTCGCATTCATAAATGCAAGTAATAGGTTTAAATGAAAACATATTGCATAAACGTCTCAACTAAATAATGTAAAAATGAAAATAGCTAAAAAATCATGAATAAAAACTATTATCCCCTCTTAAATAACGGGAACAAAGAGAGTACAAATTTGATTTCAAAAAATGAAAGTAATGATATTAACTGAGAAAAAAAGAGGACATAAAATAAAATCACGAACTATCTGGAATATATTAGAAGGAAAATAGAAAAAGAGAAAATTAATTTACTGTACGCAAAATGTTGAAAATACATATCAATGGAGAAGGGGTGGGAAAAAAGTTGAAAATAGAAAGGAAGAGTTGATGAAAACAGGAAATAAGGAAAGAAAATGAGGGCAAGACAAGTGGGGAAGGACAAAATGTAAAAGAAACAGAAAACAAAGAAGGCACAAAAAGAATTGATCTAAAAGAATATAACATTTTTCAAATAAACGAAAAGAACTTCATCAATAATATCATCAGAAGTACAGCAATGGATATGAAAAGACAGGAGTGAATAACTGCAGAACTACGCTGATCAAGTATATTATCTCGGATACTAATATTAGTATATGTGACATATTCCTAGAAGTTATTGTTAAAGAAAATACGAGGACGTAAAACTGGAACAAACGAAAAGCCCAACGGGAACAAAGAAGAACGTTCAGAATCCCCTAGATCTATTAGTTTCTGAACATTATAATAAGAATCGACCAACAAAAATTACATTTACCAAAGAAGATTCGAAAGAACTTCACCAAACATACTAGAAAAAACACGAGGCAAATAAATGAACTGGATGATGAAAGAAACATCAAAAGCTCCTAGATTTATGATATTCTAGAGCACTAACAGTAGAGCAACAAAAAGTTTACTTTTTCAAGAAAATATTACGAACTTCGCAAAAATTGACAAAGTAAACTGAGAGGTAAATGACTAGGAAATAAAGTGCAGAAGCCCCGAGATCCAAGATAGTCTCGAAACCGGCGTTAGGAATCAAGCTATAATCTCGACAAATTAAGAGCCAAGCAACAAAAAATTAATTGTTCTCAAGAAAATTACTACGAACTTTGCACAAATCATTGCAATAGACCAGGAAGCAAATGAGTTCTCAAAAGTCCGGAGATCCAAGATATTGCTCAACACGGAATTAAGAACCAAGCACCAAAAACATAATTTGCCAAAGAATAATTAAAGAAAACGCAGAACTCGGAAGAACTGCTACTAAGAAACTAAAAAGAAACTACGAAGAAAATAAAAATAAAAAAGGACAAGGAAAGAAACTGAAGGAGTCCCGAAATTAAAGATCGTCTCGAACATGAAGAATAGAGAAGCAAAAATTTAACACTTTCCAAGAACAGACTACAAACTTCGCAAAAATCATCGCAGTAAAGCCAGGAAGCAAACGACAACGAAAAGGCAAATGACGAGAAAAAAAACATGAGTTACAAGATCCAAGATTGTGCTCAACACGGTATGAAGAACCGAGCAACAAAAATCAACATTTTTTTCAAAAAAAAGCAACGAACATCGCAAAAATCATCGCAGTAAAGCCAGGAAGCAAGCGACGAGGAAAGCAACCGCCAACCCCCTTAGATCCAAGATAGTGCCCAACACGCGCTCGCGCTGAGAGCTCCTCGAGCAACGCTTCAGCGGGACGCCGAGGGGCGGGCCGCGGGCGGGGGCGGGGCGGCGCAGGGCGGCGCGGCGCCCCGCCTACGTCAGTGGCGCACGGCGGGCGGCGCGGCGGCGGGCCCCGCCAATCGATTCGCCCCGCCCGCCCGGCGCCGCTCCCGCGCCAGCGCCGCGCCCGCGCCGACGCAAAACGTGTTCCCCGCAAACCTGGCCGGCATCCGCCCCCGCCGCACCCCGCGCGCCCTGCTGCGCCGGCAGTGGTACCGCAACGCCTCGCGGCCCACCGCGCGCCATGCCGGAACACACGCGCGCGCTTCCGTTTGCACCGCCCCCCGCTGCCTCCGGCCCCCGCGCGCAACAGGGACGCGGAGCGGTTTGGGAGAATCTCTCACAACTTAATTGAGGCGGCTCACAACATAACCGGCAGATCCCAACCGAAGGTTCGTTTACTCAAATGTGACTTTCTCGTTTTCGTTTAACGGTTACCTTCACCTGAAAGGTGGAATTTTGAAGGCTTTGCCGCTATTACACTTTAATTTGATATGTCAAGAAATATGATCGGAATATCGTAGGGGTTTACCGTCATACTTCTAACTGAAAATGCGAGGTCGGTTGGTATCTCTGCCCTTATTATCCTGAGCGTCTCGATTCTATGCAAAGTCTGTACTATCCTACAGATTCACCGACTGAGCTGGCGTAGGGCGTCACAATATATCACTGTAGTGACTTTCACCGGTAGGTCTTAGGATTTGAAATCCGACGTGCAGATTTTTCACAACTAGCGAGAATAGCTGGGACAAGTTAGCTGCTGTATTGGGAAGAATCCTAGCAGACGACTACTCCAGTCGGGAGTTTTCCCCTGATTTCTCGATCAATACCAGACGAAATTCGGTGCACAATTCTAATGATCGGTACACGGACTGTGAGAAATTCTTACAACTATCTTGTACTATCGTTTCCCAAAACCTTACCAACACACACTTTACCCTTTCATGTATACACTTTAAAACATATCAGGAGCTTCGAGCTTGTGCTGGCAGTTGTGTTCCGCTCAGGGGATGTCTGATAGGAAAACCCCCGCAAGTCGACTTGTAGGTCGGCGCCAGATCTCATCATCCAGCTGAGAAAGAATGCCAACTATAGTGAGAAAAATATGCCCTACACCACGAAAGATCTTTACTCGCAGTTTATGCGCCCAGACACAAGAAATAATTAATTAGTATTCCAACACACGTTTCAGAAGTTTGATAAGTTCTACTACCACCACAAAACAATTTTTTAGATAGTCACATCACCTAGAAGGAATACTGAACATCTTCTTTCTTTAATAAATTAATTGACCCAGTTATTTAATACATAAACATACTTATTTCCCCATAGTTCTTAAGGGGGTGAGTTTGCTAAGCCACACAACTCGAACTTAGTCTCCAAACGTATTTTTTTATCTGCGTTCTCCAAATCTGAACTTAAACAGTAAGTAGTTAATCTTGGCATCTAATCCACGTAGTTCTCTAGTTAGTATTAAATTTTACTAGTTATGAATACAATATACAATACTTGTCTTAAACCATTGTCATCACCAAACTCGATGAAATCATGGCAGACTCCTCAACAATCTGAAATTGGTTTTTCTCACCTCTATGTGGCTTACATATTCACAAACAACGACAAAAATCACCTGAGAACTAAATTCTTCCTTTACCATTATTATACATTTCTAAAATATAATTGACCATCCCATCCCTCAAAACAGCCTATATGAGACAGGGTCGTATCAGCAGTGAACGGCTGTTTTGCCATCGACATGAGGCGCATCTCTCATTGGGCGCCACAATGGAAATCATTAAGCAGACAAAGCTGCTAGTTAAAGTCTGACAGATTAACTTACCACTAAATAATCAACCAACTACCTCTGATATAGGAGGTTTCATATTTTTGATGAATCGACTAAGAAAGTATCTTTTCCATTTCTTTTTGTGATAAAGGATTGTATTCAATGGTTCTCAACACTTTCTGATGTTCCCCACTCTTTTAAAACAAATACAAATGGTATTTAAATGTGGACTAAACTCCTAAACATGGTTTTAAATTAACTTTATTTCATCGATTATCAGATTGCTCTTTTACTCGTGCCGTTCAGCAATTGGCGGAAGTCGGTCACCGGCGCAATCGAGCCCGCGGTGAAAGCCATTAATTGCGCGAAGCTAATAACTGGAATTTTGACAATTCAGCGTCCTTGCTCTGCACGATCAATCAACCAACTTGGCAATGAATACTCTATTTCTAATGGCGAAGAGGTAAGTAACAGATATCTATTCATTTACCACTGTGATGAAGCATTGGCTTCGAAGACTTTTCTCATATTTCTGAACTTTTCTAAAAATACTACAAAAATGGCAATTGTAATTGTTGTAGACATCGTAAATATTATGTTATTACATCCGTGAACCATCAATAATAAGATTGTTTCTCTCAGTGAAAAACCTAATCAGACTGAATATTCATGTGCATTAGCCCTACTCTCGAGCTTATTTTCTTAGTTGCCATATTAAACAGAATGTAATACCTGAACTACATCAAAATCATGTCATAATTACAATATATACGAAATCATGATAATAATTCATTATATATAACCATATAAACGAATATCATTTAAAGACTTTAAAATCAATAATTAAGTATAAGCTAAATGATTTTGCACTTTATTTTCTTGCTATTCTACACGATATTATTAGTAAAGTTATTAAACAGTGAAATAATATCCAGAAGACTATGAAGTGACAACGTATTCATTGCCGGTAATCAGATTTCTATCATAGTGACTGAAACATTTCAGAATCTGTTTAATCAAACGAAATAAATTATTCATTAATTTAATTCACATAATGACAAACGCAAATAGTTGTGTAATATTTGTTCAAAGTTGAATGATCCTCGTAACAGGCTTTGCATTTTTAAAGTTGCAGCGTTTGTATTTTTGAAGTGGCAACTCACGCATTACATTTAATTGACTTTTTTATAATCTGTAATCGGTTCTCAATATCGCAGCATGATTACCAAACGGTTTTATAAAAACATCGTTTTAGGAGCATCTTCGAGCCATTTACGTCTTTTTCTACTGCTGGATGTGATCGGTGGCCGACTCGCAGACATCAACATTACGTTTCCGCGTGTGAGCTTCGATGCTCACCATAATCGGCCTTTCCCGATCAGTGCTGTCCGGCTTTTGAAGCTCTTCACGACTCAGTGTCTCGGAATCATTCATTGCCTTCATTGCGAAGGCTGCTTCGATTTTGTTTCGATCTATCATCGCTGTAATCGCAGAAGCTCTCCGCCGTCGGTTTTTCTCCCTATCGCCGTTCGCAACAGATTTTTGGAGACGATCGATTTCGTAATGTTACGTACGCGGCATTGCCTCCATGTCATTTAACTTGTCACTAATCGCTAAGAGCTTGTAATGATCACTCACGCGTTTGTGGATTGTTGGTAATTTTTGTTTGGTAGCCTGCTTGCTTATTCATCGCTCCAATTCAAAACTTGGTACATCGCCGTTTTTCTTCCTAACCATAATGTGTTTTATTGTCGTTAATGATATCTGCTATTTGAATAATCATACTCAAAATTACAAATTGTTCCCTAATCATTTCTTTCTCTCCTACACCCACACGTCTAGGTAACGAGTTTCTGTGAAAATATATAAAGAAGTTTTGAATTGTGCTCATATGTGTTATTTTTATGACAGTAATTCTGAATTTTCAGAAACGTTTTCAATTTTATAGGAGAACAAAGTTTTTGGTCACTTTAACTTTCACGATTGCATTACCCTGTTTCACAAATTTTCATCCGACGATAAAAAAGGTTGTCGTTATTAAAATGAAAAAAATACGGCGCGTCATTGAAAATCCTGGATATCTTTCTGAAGAATATTGATTGTAAATTCCCTAAAACTAATACCTGTCGCACTTTCGCGTGAATGTCACGCAACGAGCCGTGCCGCACGCGCGTTACCTGTTCAAATAGAAAACACTGTAATGAAAATAGAAAACAGGTGTGGATAAAACATTTATTCCCAACTAGAATCAAACATCACGCAACCCACCGACTCCATTAAAAAGTTTCCGGCTCTCGGCAAACTTTTTCTGCGCCGCGAACCCCTGCCAACCCGCGGGCTGGCAACTAGGACTACTCACGCCAGGGCCGGTTCCTCCGCTATCTCTCGGCGACCCCGCGCCGCCGTCCTCGCCGCCGAGGAGGGTCCTGCGTGTGGTGGACGCCGTGGCCTCCGCAGCGGTCCTCGTCCACGGCCGCCGTCGTGGCGGCCGCCGGCTCCGTCGCGACGGCGACGCCGTTCACATCGCGGGGCCTCCGCCGAGGGTCGGGGCGCGGGCGGCGTTCGCGGGCGCGGACGCGGGCGGCGGCCTGAGGGGCGGTCGTGTCACGAGGTCAGGCCGGCCGGCTCTGCCGCATCGGGGCAGCGCGCCGCGCTCGGCGGCCGGCCGCCGCGCGCCGCGGCGTCTGAGCCGTTGCCATGGCGACGGCGCCGCTGGAGCCGCGCTACTGGCCGCGCGCGCCGCGCCGCGCCGCGCGCGGGCTCCAGGAGGGGGAGAAAGAGCCCCCCGCCCCGCCCCCTAGGCGCCAGGGGGCCCCGCCGTTTGGCGCATGGCTATGCGGCCGCGAGCGAGAGGGCTACAGTGCGTATCCGCCGCCCGCCGCCGCGCCGCCCGCGCCGCCCGCGCCGCTCGCACGCGCCGTCGCAGCGCCTCCGTCTCGCACGCTCTCCTCCCCGCACGCCCCGGTGCACGCGCCTGGAAGCAGTGGCGCTCACGCTCGGCCGCCCCCAAAAGCGAACCTGGCCCACGCTCTTTGCCGTGCTCCTTGCCTGGAGAGCTTTCCAGAGGGCGCTCTTCAATTCTTCCGGCATCTTTGACTCCCACTACACTGCGGAGAGGCAGGTTTCTGGCCTTTTCGCTAGTGCGCCGTGGGTTAGCTTTATTTGTCTTCTAGTATTAACCCAGATGAATTCATTATCAAGCTTAAAATAGAGACTGGGCAAACTCAGTATAAAATGCTTCTAATTAAAAAAGGGCTGCAAGGGATGACTTCTAAAGTCGAACTAAAGAAAGAGATTGGGAAAAGTATTTGTTCATGTATGTACCCTGTTAGTTGCTTAATCATTAATCCGTATTCCTGCAGGATCTCCATATTCCTCATCAATTCTCTCCAATACTCGATGATCCTCCTAAGATAATCTGGCAGCTTGCTACTTACAATAATCTAGGTTAAATGTGTAACTAGGGTACTAGGGTAACATAACATACATTTTTTCTCAAAGTGATTATTCAATGTTTTCTGCTATAATTCAGCTTGCATCAGATTGATTTTACGCTTACTATTGATTGTATCTTGGGAGTCTGTTTAAGTTGATACAGTACACTAGATGGTGCCGAACATCAAGGTCTTCTCGGTTTTCACCCAATATTTGGAACAGAGACCGGAATCCCTGGCACTCAAGTTTCTAATTTTGGAAAACAAAAGCTCAATTTCAGCTGAAATTTTTTAAATTTATTTAACTCACCTTCACAATCTTTAATTGCATTGAACATTGCATGATTATTTCACCATTATCATCATTATTTTCACCATTAATATTAATAATAACAATAATAAGTATAGTAATGATAATGATAATAATAATGACAATGTCAATTCATTGCAAGATTCATGAATTAAGAAATAAATTTATAGAGCTCGATAAAAAATCAACGCCACCTCGTCACTTGGGCCTCCCACCAAGAGAGCCTACAATCGCGACGATTCAGCCGTGAGAATAGCTGCCCTCTGGCCATTGTTGGTGAAAACAGCGAGTCCAACTTAGCAGTCAGGTATTCATCGATTTATATATAATTTTAAATAAATTCATTTTATTTGCCTATAGGTATTAAAGTGTTATTCTTACTCGAAGGCGCACTGATAGTGCGTTTAAAAACTAGATTGTAAAGGTGTTAGTAAATCTACAGCGACAAACAATGCCACGCTTATTTCTCTCTTCGGACTTCGACAATGGTTCAGAATCGTGCAGTTTAAGCGAAGCGAGCTTCCTCCCAGGCTCCACTGCTCGGAACGAACGACCACGACTGAAACAACAATGCATTGGCCCGAGTCGGGTCCCTTTTAGCCACTTCACGGTCTAGCGGCTTGGGCGGAGCAGTCCTCTCTGATATTTGTCCTGCCTTCAGAGGGAAAATAATGGGCGTTTAATTTAACTATCCGTGATGTGGAAAATATATTAAAAGTCACATTCTTCATCTGTGGCGCCAAGTGTTTTTAATACCAAAGTGTCTAGACGCCAAGTGACTTTAATTTGGAATTTAATTTAAACATATATATTTAATTGAGGGAGCATAAGATTTAGACACCAACTGAACTTTAACTTTGGAATTTAATTGGAACATATATATTTTAATTGAGAGACATAAGATAAAAATATATTTTGAAAATACAAAATGCATACAATATTGGTAATATTGTTTTGTAATAGTGCATCTCATTACTCTGAGATGAAAAAATATTATGTGATTTTTAAGATTTTTTATTTAATCGTGCCGTGAAATTTCGCGCCTATAGATTAAACGTTTGCGAATAGATACATAATTCTATTCGCAACAGTTCCTTAAATTAATTGTCTAAAATATTAAATCTTAATATTTTTGATGTATCTCCTTAGAGACGCTTGGTAGAATTTCAATTATACTACAGGCCGAAAGGAATTTCTCTTCACGAGCATTCATTAGGCATGACATTTTCTCTGGCAGTGGATGGCAGTGAATATATCTCTTGTTTATATTTTTATAATAACTTATTACTAGGTCGAAAAAAACTATTGAGAAATAATTAAATTTGAAAAATGAGCATCCTATGATACAATTTTAAGCATATGTTCTGTCTTATTTTGGCAATGAAAGTCTTTAAAAGCCCCTTAATTCAGTGGTACTTAACTTTCAGTCCTTCAAATTCAGAAATACAGACACAAATTCAAATGGATTTAAAATGTACAGATATCATTGAAATTAATTTTTTTCCACAAGATAAACATAATTTTCTAACAACAAAAAGTAATAGAAGTTAAATTGGAATTTGCGTATGGCTTACAATAGATTATTTTTGTGTTTTTTCTTTTTTATCACTTTTTTCTTTATATTGCCTAAAATAGTCTTATTAGCCTAGACGTTCATTAAAATTAAGGAAAATTACTGAAGAACTGCTAAGGCCAAAAATTCTATATTTCTTTATTAGATTGCTTTATTAATTTTTATTTAGAAAGATAAAATATAATTTCATTTAATAAAATCAAAAATTCTGCGAACCCGTCAACAAATTACAAATTTCTGTTAGGTTTTACGGATGTGAAGATTCTTCGTATATATAATAATATAACAACGTGCTTTTCGTACTTCTTTCATAGAAAATTCTGGAACCATCACGCAATCGTCACACTCGACTGTTTTCTCAAAGACAACTTGGCCCGTGATCCTCGTCCGCGGTCCAACTCACAGCTTGCAATACTTTTTAAGTAAGCTCTTCGACTCGCGTGGGAGAAGCGTTGCGTATTGCTGAACAGGGTTGACATACAACATTGATCGCACAGATTGTTTGAAAAAATAACCAAAATTAAGGTTAAAAATAATATAGGAATATTTACTTACATTTTACATAATTACGTGACATCATATTGAGAGAGTCAGTCATGCGGATAAAACACGTCAGTGTTTTTCCTTATAATATTAATAAAATAAATGTTTCCCTTGCCGTTTTTAGCATCCAAAGCATATATTTCTGTAGAAAGTGGCTTTTTGCTGTGTCGCAGTCTGTATTTCACGGAACGTAGGGTGCATTTCCAGGATTCGAAGCGCTAATTTAGACTCGGGAGGTCGTAAATATCATTTACAAATAGCAACTGCCCTGCAATTCTGGTAACTAAGGTCTGCGGCGCAATTGAAAGCTTCGCTGTAGTAAAATGCAACTCAAGCTGTATCGAAATTACATTTTCAATTGTCAATTCTTACAATATTATCGCGCTTCGTTCATTGTAAGCAACGCTTTTGGACAATATAGAAGTTGAGAAATCAGTAGGTTGCTGAGCAGTAACAAAGAGTTTCTCAGCAAAATGACGTAAGACGCATTTGTTCAACTAACACAGGACACTGTATGTGTTTTTACTGACAAAATGACTTACCGTGTTTATGAGTAAATTATAGGACATTACAAGGATCATTCCTAATTTTTCGAAAAATATGTTTTAAAATACATTCCCCCTCTCGGGTTTAGCCAGGATAATACGTTGTACACAATTTCTTGGAAGACTGGTTCGATGCTCTTTCCGCACCTCTTACTAGAAATTCTGTAGACTTCGACCTATGTCTAGCCAACGGGCTTTCCCAGATTCTTTAGCATTGGCAACAAAAATAACGTCGCTGGTTGTTCTGGTATAATTGTGGAAGTGAAATGCTTCGACATTGGACATGGTTCTCTATCAAAACGCGTGCTAGTTAGTTTGAGGCATAATGATCTGAAACGTTTGTTATGATGAAGGAGACCGTCAAACTTTTATCTCTTACAGAATTGTTAAGATATTTACAGAGGTTGTTTCGTACCAATGTGTTTGTCATTTTGGTCCATCCAGTTTT